GGAATATCTACGTAGAATTCACGTTTAGATTCCCACGTTGAACATCTACGCAGAATTTAGGCTTGGATCTCCACGTCGATTTCAACGTGGAATTCACACTCAGAATTCCACGTCAAAATTCATGCACGAAATCACACGTAAAATTTGACATTTTGCGCGAACGCAGACCCAGCCACCGCGAGCATCTCACCTCAGAGGGCTTGGCCTTGCATTGTTCGGGTAACCGTAGCAACGCGCGTTCGTCCAGGCGCGGTATGCGCAGCCTCACGTCGACGCCCCGCGCGCCGCGGCCGCGAACCAGAGCTCCGAACAACGACGCAGACGTCTGCAGCATGTGCCGCGAGGGCGCCTCCGCCGCCGTGCGCCCCGCGAACAGGTCGCGCCCCCTGGCGTCGGTTCCGGGCGACGCGGAGAAGACGCGCGGGTCGTGGCGCGGCGTCCAGTCACTGGAGATCGGCACTCGCTCGAATATCTCGCTGAAACGCAGATGTGGAGACGAGGTTATTGTGGGATGGGCTCCAAGAGACGTTAGCGATCTCATACACTACACTGCACTACACCGCACTAAGTATACACCACACTACACTTCACTCTACTAAGTGTAGACTACACTGCACTGCATTGCACTACAATACACTACACTACACTACACTACACTACACTACACTACACTACCTTGGCCACCTACCTTGGATAGTGCATGTACTCGAGAGGGTCGCAGTAGCGTCGGCTGCATGCATCTCCGTAAAGCTGCTGCGTCGTGTGGGGCGCGCCCGCCGCCTGCGCAGACGCGCACAACAAACATTACTCACCGAGTACAGGCCGAAAGACAACGAATAAACCGCATCATTTGTCACCGTGGATGTCGTCACACTGTGTAGACAGGCCAACAGACATTATACGGCCAAAGACTTATACTGCATACGACGTTGTTTGTACAACAAGCTCCTTGACAACATGATACTGTGTGTATTAAGATCAAAGAAGAAGAAAAATTAAAGTCATTACGTCACTGTAAATAGTAAAACTAAAAAAAATAGGTCCACTTTTTCCCAAAATGTAAGTAATTCTGTTCACGTTTTATGGTTAAATTGCTGCATTATACTTCCTATTTGATTATATTGTTCAATGTAAACATACACTCGTGACTCATACATAGCCCATAGCAAGCAATTAATGTCAGGATCATAATATCAAATCGGCCAGGTTTTTTGGATTTTTCACTAGTTGAGAAACAATCTTATCAGGTAAGAAATTTGACGATACATTTAGTCCCGTTAGTACTTACTTTTAATGTAAAAAAAATGGCAACAAATTTTTTTTACAAATATACACCATAGAAAATTCGTGATGTAGTCAATTTTAGCAGAATGTTCACCTCACACGCGACGAGTCTGGGTAGATGGTCGATGATGTCACCGCTCCCCTCGTCCGGCCGTGCCGCGCCGCCCGCGTCCGTGTTCCTCAGCCTCAGCAGCATCCGCAGTATCGCTGCATCCTCATCTCTCACACTGCATGGCTTCCCTGCGAGCGAACAACACAGATATCTCGCTAGAGGCTTCATGCCAGAGTGTAGGTATAGCTACCAGGGTTTTATTTCAGGTTCAGATAATTTTGCTAATTAAAATGTCAAACGAAATTACCGGCATGAGTTGTGCTCTGCCGAGCGGTATAACAACCAGACAAGTATCAAGAATAAGGTATACCATGGTGTGCTCTCTACCCAGATGAACGTCCCGCAACCAGACAAGCATCAGGAACACGTATACCATTGTGCGCTCTGAAGTTCTAGCATCCCAGGAAGCAGTTAGACTAGACACGCGCACACAAATACATGTATATATATGTCACATATGTGTATATATATATGTATATATATATATATATGTATGTATATATATATGTATACATATACATATATGTGTGTGCGTGTGTATAATTATGAGTATACCATTGTGAGAGCTGCATAGCTGTGCGAGGCATTCCTCCAGTGAGTCTGCCTGATCAAACAGCCTCTCCTGCCTCAGCTCAAACGCCGCTCCCAGCAGCGTGGCGACGGCTCCTGGCTCCTCCTCCCCACCGCTGCCACACGTGACCCCTCCTCCTCCTCCTCCTCCTGCAAGGCCATAATAAACATCTTGTTTGTCTGCCCTCACCCGACCGACGCGCCAAAAAGGGGCCCGCCCCCGCACTCAAAAAATTTTGATTGAATAATTTCATCGGATCTCTATAGTTTACATGCTAATAAAGTTTATCTCAGTTAGATCCAACTTAATTTGGATCTAACTGAGATATACTTTATAAGCATCAAAATTTTTTATTGATCTTTCTTTTTTTCTTTCTTTTTAACAAATTGTATCACTGTACATTATATAAATCTGTAGGCGATACATTATATGTACCAAGCAAAACAAACATTCAACATAAAAGGTATCTCCACACAAGCCCACCCCAGCATGTAGACACAATATGCTCCATTTGTAAAAAGACCCCAGCCCCTCAAAAAAAAAGAAGCCGACCTACCTACCCAAACTTTTCAGCCTGGGTCGGGTGAGGGCAAAGAAAGATTTTTCAATTGTGGCCTCAGTGAGCAGCAACTTCATGCAACAGGAACAACAAAACGGCAAGCGATGATACAACAATTCTATTAGATGTTTATGTTGAATTTATATATATTCGTGTCAGTTCCTCTGGGATATATATTCTCTCAATAAATTAGTAATTAAGTAGTTAGATTTCTTGTACCTTCAGCTCTGAGAGGCCCCGGAAGGCACTGGAAGAGCTTTCTGTATAGCTTAGCTTTCAGTCCCTTCACGCGGAGTGACCTTTGACACGTCCTCAAACGCCGGGAGGGATACGCATTCAAGTCGATGTCGCGGCGAAGACTCGTACATTCTTGAGCGCCGTCCTCGCTGCCAATTTTGCGACAGAGATCCGCAAACAGATTCGTCAAGCTGGACTCGAAGGTCATGTTGACGCAAGCTAGCCGCTACCAGGCGGCGCCACCGTCGAACTGTTGCTCACGACTCCCGCCACTGCTGCCCTGATGTCATGGAGAGAAGGGAGCGAGCGATTCAGTCGTATCGTATAACAGAAACAAACATGCAACAATACGCTCGACCTGATATTAGAGCATGTTAAATGATAGCTCTATAGTCCTACAGCCCATAGTTGGCCTTACTGCCGCTGAGAGGGTCTATGTCCCCCAGGGTACTA